CACAGAGGACTGCCATTAGATTCAACAAAAACTGACCCATCAACAAGGCATATCATAGTCAATTCACAAAATACTCAGGCAAAGAAAGAATCATGAAAGTAGCAAAGGGAAAAAAAGTCCTCAACCTACAAGGGAAGACAGATCAGGTTTGCAGCAGACCTATCCACAGAAACTGGCAAGCCAGAAAGGAGTGGCAGGATACATTCAATGTGCTGAATCAGAAAAATGTGCAGCCAAGAATTCTTTATCCAGGAAGGCTGTCATTCAGAATGGAAGGTGAGATTAAAAGTTTACCAGACGAACAAAAATTAAAAGAGTTTGTGACCACTAAACCAGCCCTGCAATAAATTTTAAGGAGGACTATCTGAAGGGAGAAAAGATGAAAATAAATAAATAAATAATAAATAAATAAATAAAGCCCCAAAAGCACCAAAGACTAGAAAGGACTAGAGAACACCACTAGACATGCCAACTCTACAAGAAACATAATGTCAATAAATTCATATTTTTTAGTACTCACTCTAAACATTAATGGACTAAATGCTCCAATCAAAGGACATAGGGTAACAGAATGGACAAAAAACAAGATCTATCTATATGCTGTTTACAAGAGACTCACATTAGACCTAAAGACATCTTCAGATTGAAAGTAAGGGGATGGAGAACCATCTATCATGCTAATGGTTGACAAAAGAAAGCCGGAGTAGCCACACTTACAACAGACAAGGCTTAAAATAAAGACTGTAACAAGAAATGAAGAAGGGCATTATATTATAATTAATGGGTCTGTCCACCGAGAGGATCTAACAATTATAAACATTTATGCTCCAAATGTGATAGCACCCAAATGGATAAATCAATCACAAACATAAAGCAACTCATTGATAATAATACCATAATAGTAGGGGATTTCAACATCCCACTTATGGCAATGGACAGATCATCTAAACAGAAAATCAACAAGGAAACAATGGCTTTGAATGACACACTGGACCAGATGGGCTTAACAGATCTATTCAGAACATTTCATCCTAAAGCAGCAGAAAGACATTCTTCTCCAGGGCACATGAAACATTCCCCAGAATAGATAACATACTGGGACACAAATCAGCCCTCAATAAGTACAAAAAGATCGAGATCATATTGTGCATACTTTCAGATCACAACGCTGTGAAACTTGAAACAAATAAAAAATTTGGAAAGGTAACAAATACTTGCAAACTAAAGACCATCCTACTAAAGAATGAACAGGCTAACCAAGAAGTTAAAGAGGAAATTAAAAAGTACATGGAAGCCAATGAAAATGATAACACCACAGCCCAAAGTCTCTGGGAGGAAGCAAAGGCAATCTTAAGAGGAAAGTATATAGCAGTCCAGGCCTTCTTAAAGAAGGAAGAAAGGCCTCAGATACACAACCTAACCTTACACCTTAAAGAGCTGGAAAAAAAATAGCAAATAAAATCCAAAACCAGCAGAAGACAGGAAATAATACAGATTAGAGCAGAAATCAATGCTATCGAAACCCCCCCCCAAAAAAAAACAATAAAACAGATCAATGAAACCAAAAGCTGGTTTTTTGGAAGAATTAACAAAATTGATAAACCACTAGCCAGTGTGATCAAAAAGTAAAAGGAAAGGGCCCAAATAAATAAAATCAAGAATGAAAGAGGAGAGATCACGGCCAACATATCAGAAATAAAACAATAATAAGAGAATATTATGAGCAATTATACGCCCATAAAATTGGCAATCTGGAAGAAATGGACAAATTCCTAGAAACATATAAACTATCAAAACTGAAACAGGAAGAAATAGAAAATTTGAACAGACCCGTAACCAGTAAAGAAATCGAGTTAGTAATAAAAAAAAAAAAAAATCTCCCAAAAAACAAGAGTCCAGGACCAGAGGGCATTCCAGGGGAATTTTACCAAACATCTAAGGAAGAATTAACACCTATTCTCTTGAAGCTGTTCAAAAAAATGGAAATGAAAGGAAAACTTCCAAACTCTTTCTATGAAGCCAGCATTACCTCGATTCTAAAACCAGACAAAGACCTCACTAAAAAGGAGACCTATAGACCAATTTCCCTCATGAACGCGGATGCAAAAAGCCTCAACAAGATATTAGCCAAACGGATCCAACAGTACATTAAAAAAATTATTCACCATGACCAAGTGGGATTTATACCTGGAATGCAGGGCTGGTTCAATATCCACAAAACAATCAATGTGATTCATCACATCAGTAAAAGAAATGACAAGACCCACTTGATCCTCTCAATAGATGCAGAGAAAGCCTTTGACAAAATACAGCATCCTTTCCTGATAAAAACCCTCAAGAAAGTAGGAATAGAGGAGCATATCTTGAGATCATAAAAGCCATGTACGAAAGACCTGATGCTAATATCATCCTCAATGGGGAAAACCTGAGCGCTTTCCCCCTAAGATCAGGAACAAGACAAGGATGTCCACTCTTGCCACTGTTATTCAAATAGTATTGGAAGTCTTAGTCTCAGCAATCAGACCACACAAAGAAATAAAAGGCATCCAAATCAGACAGGAGGAGGTCAAACTTTCACTCTTAGCAGATGACATGATATAGAAAACCCAAAATATTCCACCAAAAAGATGCTAGAACTGATCCATAAATTCAGCAAAGTCACAGGATATAAAATTGATGGACAGAAATCGGTTGCATTCCTATATAACAACAATGAAGCAACAGAAAGAGAAATCAAGGTATCATTCCCATTTACAAGGGCACCAAAACCCATAAAATATCTAGGAATAAATCTAACCAAAGAGGTGAAAAATCTATATTCTGAAAACTATAGAAAGCTTATGAAAGAAATTGAAGAAGACACACACACAAAATGGAAAAATATTCCATGCTCCTGGGTAGGAAGAACAAATATTGTTAAAACGTCAGTACTACCCAAAGCAATCTACATAGTCAATGCAATCCCTAGCAAAATAACACCAGCATTCTTCACAGAGCTAGAAAAAACAATCCTAAAATGTGTATGGAACCAGAAAAGACCCCAAGTAGCCAAAGCAATCTCAAAAAGAAAGTCAAAGCTGGAGGTGTCACAATCCTGGACCTCAAGCTGTATTACAAAGCTCTAATCATCAAGACAGTATGATACTGGCACAAAAACAGACACTCAGATCAATGGAACAGAACAGACAACTCATAAATGGACCCACAAACATATGGCAACTAATCTTTGACAAAGGTGGAAAGGATATCCATGGAATAAAGACAGTCTCTTTAGCAAGTGGTGCTGGGAAAACTGGAAAGCGACATGCAGAAAAATGAACCTGGACCACTTTCTTGCACCATACGCAAAAATAAACTAAAAATGGATGAAACACCTAAAAGTCAGACAGAAAGCCATCAAAATCCTCGAGGAAAAAGCAGGCAAAAACCTCTTTGACCTTGGCCGCAACAACTTCTTACTCAACACGTCTTCAGAGGTAAGGGAAACTAAAGAAAAAATAAACTATTGGGACCTCATCAAAATAAAAACTTCTGCACAGCTAAGGAAACAATTAGCAAAACTAAAAGGCAACTGACAGAACGGGAGAAGATATTTGCAAACGACATATCAGATAAAGGGTTAGTATCTAAAATATAAAAAGAACTTCTCAAACTCAATCCCCCAAAGCTAAATAATCCAGTGAAGAAATGGACAAAAGACATGAATAGACGCTTCTCCAAGGAAGACATCCAGACGGCCAACCAATATATGAAAAAATGCTCAACATCACTCATCATCAAGGAAATACAAATTAAAACCACAAAGAGATACCACCTCATACCTAGCAGAATGGCTAACATTAGCAACCCATTCAAAAACAGATGTTGGCAAGGATGTGGAGAAAGACGATCCCTTTTGCACTGCTGGTGGGAATGCAAACTGGTGCAGCCACTCTGGAAAACAGTATGGAGGTTCCTCAAAAAATTAGAAATAGAACTACCCTATGAGCAATTGCACTACTAGGTATTTATCCAAGGGGTGCAGGGATATCCCTGTGGATATCCCATGTGCTGTTTTGAAGGGGCACATGCACCCCAATGTTTATAGCAGCACTATTAACAATAGCCAAAGTATGGAAAGAGCCCAAATTTCCATTGATGGATGAATGGATAAAGAAGATGTGGTGTATATATATACAATAGAGTGTTACTCGGCAAACAAAAAGAGTGAAATCTTGCCATATGCAACTACGTGGATGGAACTAGAGGGTATCTATGCGAAGCGAAATTAGTCAGAGAAAGACAAATATCATGACTTCACTCATATGAGGACTTTAAGACACTGAACAGATGAACACAAGGAAAGGGAAGCAAAAATAATACAAAAACAGGGAGGGGACAAAACATAAGAAACTCTTAAATACAGAGAACAAAAAAGTTTCACTGGAGGGGTTGTGGAAGGGGGGATGGGCTAAATGGGTACGGGGCATTAAGGAATCTATTCCTTAAATCGCTGTTGCACTATATGCTAACTAATTTCAATGTAAATTAAAAATTAATTAATTCATTAATTTGAAAAATACAACGAAAGGAGCATAACAGTGGAAGCATAGGAGTGGGCCTCACTGGGAGGGGCATCAGGAAACTTTCTGGGGTGATGGTTATGTTCTATACAGATATGGTTTGGCGCTAGACAGGTGTATGCATTTATCAAAACTCATCGAATGATGCACTTAAGATCTGTGCATTTTCTGGGAGGTAAATTTTACTTCCCCAGAAAAGAACCGTAAACAAATCTTGAACTCTAACGATATCCACACTGAGGCGTTTAAGGGTGAAATGCACTGATGACTGCAATTTACTTTGAAATGCATCCAGAAACATCAGCTAGATTGATGGCGGACACAAGAGGTGGCTGGACAGACAGGTACATGATGAACCAACAGCAAAATGTTAATTGTAGTGTCTCAGTGGAGGGTGTATGGGTGTTCACGATGCAATTCTTTCGTCTCTTCTGCTAGGCTTGAAAACTTTCATAAGAACATCTTAGAGGGAAGAAAAATCTGTCGAAAAGCCACCAACCAACCAACTACCTAATCAACTGGTAAATCAGCTAATGATGTGGTGTTTCCCCAGCTTTACTCATTTGGATACTCCCTGCATTATTATTTATTTAATAATTCACCCGAACTCGACTTACTTTTAAAACGTATAGTCTACATTTGCCTCATCCCGAGTAATACTATCTGTGAAATTATGTGTGATATATTATATCTTTTATAAGACACACAATGCACATTTATATTAATGTATAAATGTTACCCTAGAAATGTTTGCTCCTATGTCAAGTGTAACATTATTGCACTTACCCCTGAAGTGTGCATGTCACACTTTAGGGGTTCCGATCTTTGCTGCATGCCATGGGGGGAGGGGAGATTAGAAGTGGAGCATGTGGACTCTGACCTCAGAGAGCTTTAGCGACAAGCCCCATAAATCTGCAGGAGGAGAGGACAGACTTTGTGCAAATGTGAGCAACAGCCTGGGCTGGACACATATAGCTGGGAAATGTCTGCAGCAGCCCTCACCCCATGGAAGGCAAGGACAAAAATCGCTGGTGACACACGGGTCAATGGCCTGTCTCCTTGCTCAAGACAAGTGGGGAAGAGACTCTTTGAAGCCTCAGCAGCAGACACTCAATTGGATAGACTCTCAGGTTTGAAGCTTTGCCACAGGCTTTGAAGAGAAAGAGAAAACCCACACAAAATCCAGCCACCTGGTCACAGGCCCCCCCCCCCCCCCCACTGTGGCTCCCACCCACCCTCCACCCATCCCAGCCTCTCAATTGTCAATTAAAATAAACAGCCTTGTATTCCTCAGCCTGGCTTCAATCTATCTCGGCCGGTAGGCTGCGCATAGATTTGTGGCAGTGCCCGAAAGTCCTTGCTCAACCTTTTTAATATCTGAACAAAGCAATCAAACCCGATAAGATCTAGCGAAGGCAAGATCACTCTTCTGTCCCTGGGATGGAAGCTTATTAGTCTGTGGCCCACATCATCAGAGTTATTGTGCCATGTTAAATTTATTGGTACTATCTCACCTCATTAAATACTTAAATAGACCTGACAGGACAGAAAAACGGGCTTTTTAATTTTTTTCCCCCTATCCAAAGGGAGCTGGTGTTTCCCATGTCCCAGTTCACCTCTGCTACAGCTGTTGGCAAAGAAAGAAGTAAGGAAGGCAGTGAATGGAAGTTTTAGGCTGGCTGTTTAGGGATTCCTGGGATCCTGCCCCCCTAGCCAGGTTTGGCTGGAGGTGAGAAAAGCTCCCCCACCCCCCCCACCCCCGCCGGAGTGCATGTGGGCTTTTCAGCGGGCCTGACATGAAGGAGAGGCAGAGGGGGGCTGTGTGTTCATTTCTCTTTGCTGCTTTGCTCGGACCTGGTCTCAGCTTTACATTTCCTAGGAGCAGCCTTTTGGTCATTTGGCAGGGACAGTGCCCAGAAGCAAAGGTCAGGGTGACCGAGGAGGGGAAATCAGGGTGTGTGTGTGGCTGGGGAGGTGGGTGGTGGCAGGTAAGCTCTCCGTGGATCCTCCAGCGCTGGGGCCTGTGGTCTTTATTTAGCAAATAGCCCTCGTATCCAGGGCTGGATGGTGGCCAAGGCCTGGATTTCCCCAGATTCAGAGGGAGAGAACTTGGCAGGCTGGTGAAGCCTTGCAGGGACCCACTAGCCTGAAGGCGTCAAGCAAGTTGCAGCTGATGAGAAGTGGGTGTCAAAGAATGCTCACTTGTTCCCATGCCTTTCCCCAGCGCTCCCCCACCCCCTGTGATGTGTCTGTGCGTGTGTTGGGGGAAGGGGGCCGTTCGAGTAGAAATCCAAGACCCAGAGAGTGCTTGCAACCTAGAAAATATTCCTTAAACCGCTTCGTCCAGAGGTTGAACATTTTTCCTCATTTATCAGGCCAATTGCCTTCTCAGCCAAGGTGATTTGGGACACAGCCTCCGTGCACCCCCTTCCTCTCCTCATATCTCTGCCTGCAGAGAAGGTCTCTTTTCTCCAGCTGTTTCTCTCTCCCAGCACTGGTCCTTGTTTGCACCTTGTTAATAAGGTGGGCAAAGGGCCAGGAAGCAGCTCCCCGGCGCCTTCCGTTCCTAATGCCCTAAATGGCCATGACACCGCGCTTAATTTCCGTTTTAGTGTAACTGCTGGCAGGACATCAGCAGGCTGAGGCCTGGGTCCTGTGACAGTATCTTCAACTGTGGCCATCAGCCTCCCTGTAATTAGATGCCACTTGGAGCCCAATGCCCCACACTGCCAGAGCTCAGTGGACTTATATAACTGTCCCCCTGTTCAGAGCACAAGGCTCTTTACAGGCTCTGAGCCTCCCGGCGTTAAAACAGCTGTAATCCCTTGCCCACCCTGGGAGGGAAGGCAGGCCACGACCAGATGGGTTATCTATGTTATCAGCTTAGAATAGCGTGGGGCACGTAAAACTCAAGGCTGGTGCCGAAAACCTAGATGGTTGACATTTACCAACTGGGGAGCGTTGCTCTTTATCTTTTTTTGGAATGTTCCACAGTAGACTTGGGGAAGTGAGATGGTCAGAAGCCATGGGTGCCTTCTGCTGCATTCAGTGCACATAGAAAAAAAAAAAAAAAAAAAGATCAGTGGGAAACGTTGTGGATGAGCCACGGTGGTAATTAAAGCATGGCAGCCATGACGAGGCTTGCAGGCGATTGGAAGGCTGCCTGTGCATGTGGATATAAGGCCCAGTTTGGTCTGAACCAAATGCTGGTTGAGGCAGAGGGGATGATGGGAAGGAGGGAGGAGGTGATTAATTACCACCAGAGTGGCAGTATGTCTTCATTTAGAAGCTGCAGCCTCAATTATCTTTAATTACTTCCCTTGTGGCCTTAAATCAAGGTCTGGTCCAGAATGGGGGTCAGTTGCTGAGGTAGATGTCCTGCCTGGGCTGGCAAAAAGTGGACCTGGGGGTGAAGTGTCACTGTGGGGCATACATGGCACTGTTTCAGATCGGCCTTCCCTCAGGGGCTGAACGATAGAACTGATAATAATTAAAATCTGAATCAATCATACCTTGGATAGAGAGAGTATGTTCAGAGGAGCCCAGGACCTCTCCTGATTCATTGATTTTATCTTCACTGAGTCAACTGGGGAGGTCAGGAGCGCTGAGTGGGGACCCATGCCTGCCATGTGGATGGGCAAAAGAAGCCCATGCATCCGGATACTGGCTGAGAGGCCCAGCTCCTCTGGGTTGACCTGGGTTCTCTCCTCCAGGGCAGGGCTCCCAAACACAACGGATAGGGACCACGTCAGGTTCGGGTTAAGAAATATGGATTCGCACACTGGACGTTTGGAGTTGGAGTCTTCAGGAGTGAGGCAAAGTTATGTGTATTATCAACAGGCTCTTCAAGCGCTCCTTGGGTGGCCGGTATCTGGAATCCCACATGGGGCTGGTTGTCTGGCTTCCTTTCTACGTAGGGAGGGGCCGACCCCTTATGTCACGGAAGGCTCTTCATCCCTGGACCCTCCCCTCATTCTTCCAGTTCAGACTTGTCAGGGCTGGAGACTGTGTTTTCAAAATCCAGGACTTGTTTGAAAGGCAGTAGGAAAAACAATGAAAACATGAATGGAGATGCGGTGTGTTTTTCTGGTGGGGGTAGGAGTGGGCCAGGGAGGTGGGAAGTTACAGAATGAGGCAGAAGAGGAGGTGATGTCAAGCAGGGCCATTCCTCTCCTGTCTCTGAGCTGAGTCTCCTCATCTGTAAGGTGGGGGGGGGGGGCGGGATGAGATGGTCACTCAGACCCCTTCCTTCTCTGACGCTTGATTTTCTCTAGTCTTCAGGACAGACTTTCTCCTCCGGCCCCCTAAATGGTGTGATGTCAGGGAAGGAGGTCGTTTCTGCTCCTAGGCAGGGAAGGGGGGGGCACCCACGTGTGACTCACACATAGCCTGTTGCTCTCTCTCCCACCTTGTTCTCCAACTGTTCCCCTCTCTGTCTTCCCGTTAGACAGAAGTGGAGTCTAGAAGGATGTTACCCTATCCCCTGCCCTACGAAACTCGCTCCGGGCCATTCAGGAACTTCTGGCTCATTTTCTGCTTTCACGTGGTCCTTTCTTCCTGGGCCAGGGAATTTCTTTCGGCTTCCTACTCCTCTTTGACCCCCAGGTGGCCCTTCTCAATTTGTTGAATATAAATTAGCTCTCGGAGACAAATATTTCTTCCTTTCTTGTTCTTTATGCTCTTACTGCCCTCAGATCAAAATGCAGGACACTGTCTCTTAATGGGATCTTACGTTTCGAGTTCTCAGCTCCCTCAAGTTATTAGGAGCAGTTAATTGGCAAGTAGCTGTGTCTTTTAGGCTGGTTTACCAGTGCCAATGGAATTTATGAATCATATCCCAGGGAGAAGCCTAGGATGACTCCAGGGTATTTGGCCTTAAACAACAAAGTTGCTATTTACAAATGACCATCGATTGACATTTGCTGTAGCTTAATGAAGCATGGTTCTTGGGAGGAAAGCGAGAGCTCTGGACAGGACTAGGTAGAATTCAGTTCAAGAGACATATACTGATGGCCGCCATGTTGCCACCAAGGTCCTGGATACTGGAGATGCTGGGAAATGCCAGGAGGAAGAAGACACAGACAAGTCCCCAGGGGAGCTCATCTCGAAGAAGGGCACACCCCATGACATCTGTCAGAAGTGATGTGCTCCAAGGTAGTTTTATCTGAAACGCACTGAGGAGGAAAGCACAGTTGAAAGAAACTTCAAAAGTTGCAACGCTCTAAAATTTAACCCTGCCCTATGGCTGGGTTATGCAGTGTCGGCTTTGAACTCAATATATTGGAAAATATTTCCTTCCCTTGTTTAAAATTTTTGTTTCTGCTACCTAGTATTCATGCACAAAGGGGAGGGGTCTTTCCAATATTTTTACGAGGGCATAGCTGAATGCAGGCCTTGCGTGAGTCAGGCCTTTGACAGTAAAAAAACAAAAACACAAACAAAAAAAACACCGCCCCCACTTTTGAAGACACCTTGTCAATAGACAAAGATAAAGAGGTTTGTGTT